AAAACTAGAAACAACACAGCACTAAGAATTTCGAATATTGGCTACATTCTGTTTAAATAATTACCACCCAGAGTAATTGAGAAAATATTAATATTGTTGAATGCAATTCTCGAACAAAGCAAGATTTTAGATAAGCAGAAACTTAGTCAAATATACTTAATCCCAAAAAATAGCTTCTAAGAATATAATCTAAGTAATACAAGACCAATAGTACTACTTGAAATATGTAGAAAAGTTTTCACACAAATGCTCTAAATAAGACTAGACAAAGTTCTAAGCAGAAATAGTATATTAAAAGTAGCAAACTTTGCAGACTTGTCTGAAGAAAGTATATCAACCCCTATCTACATAATGAACAATATAATAGAAAAAGCAGTGGAAAAGAAAAAAGAACTTTGGGTCACATTTCAAGATATGAAAAAAGCCTTCGATTCAGTTAGTATGGTCTCACTAAAGAAAGCTCTAGAAAGAATTAAACTTTTAGTGAAAATAGTTGAAATAATAATGAAATTATATAAGAATAGGCAGTTTAGCATTATAACAGAGTTTGGAAGTACAGATTTTATAAAAGCAGGAGATAGTATAAACCAAGAAGAGGTATTGTCTCTATTGGTTTGGAGGATTTTTTATGATTCTTTATTCTGTAAAATACAAGATGCCAAGCTAGGTTACAAAATACATAACTTGGAAACACATATAAACTCAAAGAACATTGAAGTAGATATAAAAGTAGGAGTGTTAGCATATGCAGATGACACAACGTGACTGACAAATAGTCAAAAAAGCATACAAAGGACAATTGACATTGCATAAGAGTTTTATAAGTTAAATGATATTGAAATAAATCTGAACAAGACTGAACTCGTAGTATTAAAACTGAGTAAAAAAAAGTATGCAAAAGATTCCACAATCTGGATGGGTGATCTAAGAATCAAAATTATAGCAAAAGATCTTAAAGAAACTACAAGATTCTTATGGATCTGGATGTCAATCAAAAACCAAAAAAAGTCTGATATATTTAAAGCAAAATGCATAGTAGGCAAGATTACAGGCCTCCTCAAGCACTAAAATATGTCTTTGAGCTAGGTCATATATGTAAACAATGCAATTCTTATACCTACTTTTGAATATAGATTAATGATTTTATGTTTAATTAAAGCATAGTGTAAGAGAATACACCAACCAATGATTTGCCTAATAAAGTAGAAAATGTCGATACCGTCCACAACAGCAAACATAATAACAAAACACCTAGAGATTACAGACCTCAAAAGTCTTTGGAATAGACACATGGAGCATCATATATCAAAGTTACTAGTTAGATTAAATATATCAGGTTTATTAAAAGAATCGTCAACAAGAAGGCTCAAGCAAGGCCAATTAAGAGCAGGATTTTTGAACTATATTCTAACAAATCAGAATCTGTTAGCAAAAGAAGTAACAAAAGGTCACAATTTAGGTATAAATATTTTGCAACAGGCACACATTCTGGGCTTTGTAATAGAAGAAAATGAAATTACAAAGAGTTGGGATTTAGATACTACACGAATGGTGAATAATAAAGAGATTGTATATGTTTTTAAGCATTTGAATATGGCTTATGAGAAAATGAAAATGAGCAGCCTAGGTCTAATTTTGGTACCACAACTTATTGCAAAAGATGGCAAAACAATGCACACGTGGAATCAAGTCAAATTGGCAGGTAGCATGGTTTTAAAAGGAAAAAAAGCAGGCTGGTTTGCTAAATTAGAAGATAAAATATTAAAAAATCCTCTTATACAAGTAGTCAAAAATAGATATAACTGTAAAGCAAATAATGTTAATGCACCTAGACTAGAAACAAAAGAATTAAGTGCTGGCAAAAGATTAAAAGAATGGGTTTGCTGGAAAGATGAAGCAAATACAACGCTCAATTTAGGAAAAGTTAAAGAAAAAAAAAAAACCTATATAGAAGTTGAAAAATACAAAGAAACAATCTTTTGTTATGAGAACGAAATATAGCAGTTTTTAGAAATTGATGAAAGAAGCAAAACTTATATGGTTAAGCATAGAAAACTTAGAGACATTTCAAACATAGTTCAGAAAACAGAAAATGAGATGAAGTTGATTTTCAAAAAAAGACACATTGAAGAGGTAGTTGGTAAAAAGGAAAAGAAAGTGCTAATCAAAGCAAAAGAGTTGAAAAGAATAAAGAAGAAGAGTAAAATAGTTATAGAGTGCGAATGTTGGGAAATAGTTTTAGTTAATAGAATAGTTCATGATATAATTAGACATAGAATAGCAGAAAGTTTAAAACATAATAGGGATTTAGATAGTTTATTTTTTTATACAGATAGCTCACTCGGTAATACTGAGTTTGAAGATAAGTTAGTAATGGGATGTGAAGTAATTCAAATTACAGAATTAGATCAGCTTTTGCGTCAAATGTCTTGTATGACAAAGAGGTGATTCTCATCTACAAGAGCAGAAATAGGAGCAATATTACTCGTATTACTAACAACACCCTGGGAAAAAAGGGTAGAAATACAAACAGATAGTAAAGCAGCAATATTAGCAATCAAAAGGGGCTTAGAGACAGACAAGATAAGATCTTGGTTAAAGACTAAGAATTGTGGTTTAGTAACAACAATTGTAGAGGTGATCAAGACAAAGAAGCTAAATACACACTTTATAAAAATCAAGAGTCACTCAGGTAATATTTTTAACAATCTTGCAGATTTGAAAGCAAAGGAAGGGTCCAAGTCAACAAAGTACCTAAACCCAGAAGTATTATATACGAAAGGCCATAAAATAAGATACACATGGGAAGATAAATTAGTTAAAAAGCCTATTTACTCTTTTATTAAAATGATAGAGAGAGTGCTATTGAAAGCAGAGTAGGCTTTCTTACACAATATGCATGATGAAACCCATCAAAAAAGAAAGAGTACTTAATCCTGGTTTATGCTGCATAATATAATAAGAGGCAGGACAAAACAACGAAACTATACTTTCAAATCAAATACATTATAGCTCTTTGAAACAAAGTGTATAAACAACATGCTCCTGGTATTTGAAAAACTCAATCGGAGAAGGCCAGAAATATACAAGATAGATAAATGTATTATATGTAAAAAAAAGAAAGAGAATGTAAAACACTTGGTGAGCTGTGAAACTTCCCTAAACCTAGCCCGAGATCTAGAGGAGCAAGTAGTAGAAGCAACCTTACTCAAATTAAAAAAGGTAGAAAGCATAGAGCCAACCAAAAAAGAAGTCTTAACAATACTAGAAAAGGATCTAAGCTAAAGAATCATGTAGAAAAGAAAGATAGATTAGAGGCCTAGTCACAAAAGAAGACTTCGATGAGTTGAGACCTTTTTTCAACTCTAACAGCCAAGCAAAGAACTTTCTAGGTAGACTTTGGAAGAATTGGATAAAAAAGGTTTATGAGAAAATCTGGGTTGCAAGATATAAACTAGTACAGGAATAGGAGAAGAAAAATGAGATTATGCCAAAAGATAAAAGAAGATTGTATGAAAAGACAAAAAGGAAAAAAAGAAAAAGAAACCTAATAAACATATTAAAGAAAAGAAAAAAGATAAAGATATAGATAAGGATAAAAGATGAGATTCAATTTTAGAGATAACTAAAAGGGAGGTTTTAAGATGGATTGAAGAAGAGCAATAGGCAGATTGGTGGAAAAGTAATATGTAGTCTTGACGGGCAGTAAGATCCAGCTAGTGACATATTATTGATGCCAATTGCAGGATAAAATAATACAGAGGCAAATCTTACTATAGCAGGTCGCACATAGATACTCAGTGAGCAACTGAGTGAGTCTCCACTTGTAATTTAGATACTATAGAGTATAACTCTGTAAAAAATTTTAATAGTTTAGATAATTATTACAAAGCCTAATAAAGTGAAGGCAAGACTGCTGAATTTGTTAAAAAAAAAAAATAAAAAATAAACCTAATAAGAGCTTATATGAATTTTCTCAAATCACATATATATGGCTATATAAACAAGTTATCTATATGAAAGTATGTACAAGTTAGATTAATTGTTTATCAAAAGTCTGGTAAATATGAATGCTATATAATCATTTTCGAATTGTATTCAATCTATTGAAAATAACAATTTGAAGAGATAATATAATTTTAAATTAGATTTTGCTATGAGAAGAATTAGAGTTGAAATAAATGAGCATAAGATTTCTAGTTAATATTAATAAAAGTATAAACAATAATATTGAATTTAATAATAATAGTAATGAGAAATATTGCATGTAAAATGAATAGGAAAAGAAAATAATAAAGAGTGTTGGTTAGCATTTATATAAATTTTGTTTTTTTTTGTTCTAACCAGATTCTCATAGATCCTCTAGTTGTAGTCTGGCCCAAAAAATTAAATGCAAGACAATGCCTAAGTCGAGAATATTACAGAGATGGTACTGAGATAAATGATGTTGAAATTTGGTGTCTTGGTTATGTTTCAATACTACTAAATTAGTAAAGAAAAAAATACCTCTCATAAAACTAGCTTTCGATGCCTAAAAGATTACTGTCAAGAAGTTGACTATTTCTGAATTAGTAATTATATATCTTTATATTTTGATTAAGTAACTTTTTTTTTTTGAATTAAATTGAATTTTAAAAAGTTGGGTTAGCAGGTATATAATGCAAAAAGAAAAATTAATTTTGTTAGGATTTTATCAAAATTAGATCCTGTGGTGCAGATGTTTTGTACAAATTAGATTTCAAAATTTTATACATATATATAAGAAATTATTATTGATACTTTTTCGATTTTTACTTTATGTGTAAAATCTAACCCTAGCTTTTTTTTGCTTTTAAGATCATAGTTTATTGAAGTATGTATATACTTTAAAGTACATATTAATTTATATACATATAGTTCGTATATATATATTCGACTTCTATTAAAGTTTATACAAAATAGCTTAATCATGAGCAAATTTTTCAAGAACTTGTTCTGGAATTCAATAATGAGAATGATACTTCTTTTCTGCATAGTTAGCAGTCTTTCCAAAAAGTTCAAATTCATAAGTACTTATAAAGTGTTTAGAATGACAAGCAAAGTAGTGAATCTTTAATAAACCAACAAAATCTAATGCCTTTGAAACAGTTTTTTGAGGCCCTTAAAACTATAATCACAATAAAGTTTTGCATAACATTTTACCTCAGCCTAAACAGACTCAATGTAATTAAATTTACAATAGAACTTGGAGTAAAAAATACGCATATGGCCAGTATCTTCAATTACCTAAATTATTATACATATGTAGGTAATAGTTTTTAAATAATTTTTCTTTTTTTTTAAAAAAAAAAAAACCTTATTTACTTCTCATAAGCATGATCTTTGAGATGCAAAGTCAAATTGAGCTAAAAGAATATATAAAGTACAACAGTTTGGATTGGTTAAATCAGGCTTATTTTTTTTATATGTATTACACTTTTTTATAAGACCTGGTATCCATAAACTTCTTTTATCAAGAACCCGTCTAATTCTCTTAGGTTTTAATATACTATTACTGTCTCTATAAGTTATTATATGCTCGAAACCATCATGATATTTACCAGTACAAAGAAGTGGTTTTTTTGTACTATCTTTTATGCTCATTTGTGAGACCAAAAGGGCATCTTTGGCAAATGAACTATGATTGCTACTATTATCAAACATGAATAGTGCTATCTTGTTGGGGTGTGTTCGTTCAAATATTGGTATAGCATATAAAGCTACCTGATTAACTAAATTGTTGCATATTTACCAACTATCACAATTTATGCCTAGATAGATAGCAATACCTGCTTTGATATATTTGAGACACATAGAATCAAGAAGTAAGTCATTTATAGCAATTTTATAGTCTAAAAGTTTGAGACACCTGATAAATTCACAGACAAAATCACTAATATAAATACTGGAGCCCTGTAGTTAAGGATAGAAATCAAAAATTAGTCAAAAAAATGGTTTTAACTAACTTATTAAATATTAGAAATACTGTAGTGTACTGACCAAAAAACCCAAAGTCTAATACAAAATACTTAACAAAAACTTACAAAAGACCTGGATATATTATATAGCAGCAAGTTAATGTTGCAAGCCTATATTTAATTAATAGAGGTCTTGTGTTTTGCACCAGGTACTTTGCAAGGGAAAATATTGAAAAAGGTGAATACTTTAGTCAGTGCACTACAGTAATAATATTCTAGTCTATTGGAGATTAACAGAAATGAAGATTCTGCTTATTCACATATAAATCAGGATATTATTTATTAATCTTGTGATATTAGTATAGTGATTAGAGATTATAACTGATTAATAATATCATTGCAGCGAATTTATAAAATATCCCAAAATTTGAAAAATTTGATCACTAAGATACATATAAATATAGATTTTAGCTGGATTTAATATCACTACTATTAATATGATCTACTAATCTTCTAGGTATCACTATAACAACATGTAGTCTTCTTGCAAGTTGTATTGCTTGTGTTATCATATCTAAACCTCTAATTACAATACATTCTTTTATATTTATACTCTTGTCAAGTACTCTAAATTGATCAGCAATTTAGGTATTATTAATTATTTTTTAAAAAAGTTATGATTCTAACTACATAGTAATTTTTTGTCTTTGACCAGAGAATTGGCTATTCAGATAAGAAAAAATTTTCAAACTAAGATGCATTTTTATAATAAATTTACATATCTAATAAGGGAGAAGAAAATGTGAAAGATGGATTAGGCATATTATCAGTTTAGATCAAAGTTTCAAAAAAAATTTTCAGTGATCTTACCTACTATTGAATATGAAGATAAATTTGGAGTAAAATAGCAAAAAAAGTTAAACTAGATAAAATAGAGCTTAGATCTCTACCTTTTTTTAATTTTTTTTATAAAGACTAAAGTTACTTCAACTACTATAATTGAAAACGTGATACTTTCAAAAAAAGTTGTATTTGGTATTGATTTATTAATATATAAATTGGTAACTAAAATTTACTTTGAAAAACAAAATACTCAGAGATAATCAAATTTTAGCTAAGTTTTATAAATTTACTATAATGTTTTACTTAATAATTAAAAATTTTAGTTAGCTAATTAGTCAACTAAAATTGGTACTGTGATTAATTTTGATTCTTATTTGTGATTTTCTCCATAGGCCATATTTACCCTTTAGACTCCAATATTGTTTTACACCATCATTTGCATAAAGAGTAGTTTCGTCTTAAGTAACAGGAACAATTTCAGCTTTATCAGGATTAAGGTTTGGTGGGATACAGTGTAAATTTTTATCTTTATATCTGGACATTCATCTTCATAACTTAACCATTTCCTGCAAAAAATCATTTCTATACTCTATCACATCTTCATGTTCATGACCATCAAAATAAATCTTTTTTATATAGGTTTGGTATCTTCATTCAAGCAATTTTAACTATCTACATGCAGTTGACCTGCTAATAGGTTTGTTTATAACTCCAAAAGTGGGCATAATATGCTAATATAACTTATAAAATTTGGAATGAATAATTTAAATTTATTGTTCTCCAAATATTGATTTATTTGATATTAAAAATTTATATTATGTATTAAAGATTTTATTTTTACATGTTAACTACATTTTGACTTTATTAATTTTTTATTATTTTTCTATTGATTTGCCCAAGTATGAATATGCCAAACATGCTATAGGCCTTTACCCAAACTTTTAGCTAAAAGTTTACTTGCTTTCATCTTTATATACTCTCAATTCACAAGATGAAGAAATTGTCTTGTTGTATTGAGATTTATATTAATAGTTTTTGTATTCAATTGTGTGTTGAGTGATGATAATTTAGGATTATCATCATTAACACTACTGTCAAGGGTCTTATTTAACAAAGAAGCAAGTTTTTATACTGTAGGCCAATTTTTGTTGATGAGATTAAGTGCCTTAGGTTCATAACTTTTGTTGGAAGTAGTATTGGTCAACGATTTATTTTTCTATTTTGCGGCAGCAACTTGTCGAGATTGATTTGTGCATTTATTTGCCTTTGGCATTTTTATTTTATTTTATTTTTGATATTTAATTTACAAGTTTGTTGAAGTATGTATACGTATCGAAAAGTTAAAGAAAATATAATTTAATTGATGATCTACCAGTCACCTGAAGAATGATCATAGTAAAATATAACTCAGATTACTATAAATTTACTATAGTGCGAATATGGTGATCACCCAAGGTAAACTTTTTTTCATACTAAGTTAATTACCTTTCTTGCTTAAGAGACTTTTATAAAGCTTGTCAAAACGCATCTAATGGTAGTTAGAACGTCAAAGTTTACCTTGGGTGATCGCCATATTCGCACTATGGTAAATTTATATAGTAATCTGAGTCATATTTTATTATGATCATTCTTCAGGTGACTGGTGGATCATCAATTAATCAAACACATATTTATAATTGATACATTGTTTAGATAATTAATCTCTATTGGTATTAATTATATATATGTACCAGTTCATATTTGAATAAAGCCAGTTTTAGATATATACGTGCATACTCGTATCGTATTTTTGTATAATAACATCTATCTGTATATTATTTGAGTATGTATAGGTGTATTATTTCAAGTGTGCTATTTTGAGTTGAGGGCTGATCATAATTGTTAATTTATATTGATCCAAATATACATGTTATTACACGAAAATATGACACATATTGAGACAATAGGCTTTGAATAAATACAATAGATAGTTTTTTGAGTTCTATTTATATCATGAATAGAGCTCAAAAAAACTAGTATCCATTGGCTCCACTTGTAGCATCATTGGGTTCAATTGAAGTATTGTTCTATTAAAGTAGTGTTGGACTATAACAAGACTATAATGGGTCGATATTATATGATTTTACATACTAATTGAACTTAGTGATATGACTATTATTAAGTAATTTTTTTGTGAATTAAATACGTACGTATGTATATAGTGAACTTTATTTCAACACTAAAACAACTATTATTTATCCTAATTAATATTTTAAGTTAAAAAATCAATACAAATATAGAGGCGACTTGACAATTGCGATTTATGAAATAACTAAGAACCCCAAAGATAGTAATTATATGTTAGTCATAGTGTATATGAAGCAGGGAAGTCTAAAAATTAATAGATAGTAAATATGATGAATTAGATTGGGTTTCTAAAATAACTAATCTATGTATAACTAATAGACTTAAAGCTAAAATTTAAAGTGCAAATTTTTAGAAGTACAAACCTTATTTGTAATTATTAAAGTGTAATAATCTTATTTATTCTAATTAAGATTTTAGAGTGAAAATCAACACAAACAGGATGCGACACAATTTATAGAATAACTAAGAACCAAAAGATGGTAATTACATGAGGGTCATGAAGTATGCAAAGCAGAAAAGTCTCTAAAAATTGATAGATAATATGATAAATTAGATTGGGTTTCTAAAATAGCTAACCTATATTATATAGCTAATGGGCTTAAGATAATTTATAAGCTAAAATTTAATGAGTGAATTTTTAGAAATATGAATCCTATTTGCAATTATTAAAGTGTAGTAACCTAATTAATATTTTAGGGTGAAAATCAACAACTCGAAGTTTCTGAAAATTGATAGATAGTAAATATGATGAATTAGAGTGAGTTTCTAAAATAGCTAACCTATATTATATAGCTGATGGATTTTTAGAAGTATGTACGAATTTAATTTATAATTATTAAAGTGTAGTAATTTTATTTATCCTAATTAATATTTTAGAATGAAAATTATCACAAACATGAGGGTGACTTGACATTTGCGATTTATGGAATAACTAAGAATCCAAAAGATGGTAATTGCATGATGGTTATAGAGTATGCAAAGCAGGAAGTCTCTGAAAATTGATAGATAGTAAATATGATGAATTAGATTGGGCTTCTAAAATAGCTAACCTATATTATATAGCTGATGGGCTTAAGATAATTTATAAGCTAAAATTTATATGTAATGCAAATTTTTAGAAGTACAAACCTTAATTTGTGATTATTAAAGTGTAATAATCTATTCACATAGTTTTTTTTTCATAATTTCATGAACCATAAGATCACAGATTATAATTTCGCGGATATCCATGTCCGTATAGACACGTGACTAGTGTTGGGTACATCTTTCAAATGTTTTTTGGATGAAGTAAAAATTTATTTATTTATTTTTATCTAATTATTTAATGATATGAATTATCTATAACTTATTTATTTAATATTTTAGGTTGAAAATCAACACAAATATAGGTGACTCGGCAATTGCGATTTATGGAATAATAATAACTCTGAAAGATAGTAATTACATGATAGTCATAAAGTATGTGAAGCAGGGAAGTCTCCTAAAATTGATGGAGATGAATTAGATTAGGCTTATAAAATAGCTAACCTATATTATATAGTTGATGGGCTTAAGATAATTCATAAGCTAAACTTTAAAGTGCCAATTTTTAGAAGCACGAACCTTAATTTGCGATTACGTATTAAAGTGTAGTAATCTTATTTATCATAATTAATATTTTAAGTTAAAATCAACACAAACATGGGAGTAACTTGACAATTGCGATTTATGGAATAAATGGTAATTACATATTCATGGAATATGTGAAGCAAGGAGGTTTCTGAAAATTGGTAGATAGTAAATACTGTATGATGAATCAGATTGAGCTTCTAAAATAGCTAATCTATATTATACGTATAGCTAATGGGTTTAAGACAATTCATAAAGCCAAATAAGTGCATAACCCGGAAACATAATTATCATAATTCTAATAAAATTACGTAATTATAGTAAATAACATAAATAACTTGGCAGTAGGGTTCGGGACATGTGTGTCCAACCCTAAAGCTGCACTGATTTTAAATGAAATATTAGATACGTACGTACATGTTAATTCAGTAACTGGTAAGATAATTAGAAGGAACACATCTCTGTGAAAATGGCATCTCAAATATATATATATAAATTCACAGAAAATTTCATCTCGGATCTGAAAAGTTTGAACGATAAAAAATATCTACCAGAAGTAGAAATTATTTTAATTTGGCCTGTTTTCAGGCATCTAAATCAATTGATCAGATAATAATCGTGATGATGCTCAAGCATTACAATTGATGAATTAAATGCTTGAGTATACTTTTTTTGTTTTTTTTATAATGTTTGCTATACCTAAAAAACCTAATGAAAAAAATTTCTTTTTGATCAATCGTTAAAGTTTCAATTTTAGTTATGTCGACTCCTCCTTTTAATGATTTGATTTTTTTTTACTACGTATCCGTCAAATATAGAAAAAACTACCCAAACTTTTCAGTTTTAGGTCTTCTTTACTGAGAAGATTTTAAATTTAAATGTGAAAAATGGAATAGCAGTATTCATTATGCTTTGGTTAAATATTAAAAGATTGTTGTATTTATATTAATATATCGAACCTCACTCAATAGATCGGAAGTAAATTTTAATTACAACCCACCTTTTTTCTTCAAAAATTTACCATTGATAAAGGCCGCTTAAGCATTATATTACTTTACATTTTTTACATATTCAACAAATTTCTAACTGGTCTAAGGCTGTTCTCAAGCATTTAAATCAATTGATTGGATAACAATTGTTATGATGCTCAAGCATCACAATTGATGACAATATTAAATGCTTGAGCATACTTTTCTGTTTTTCACAATGTTCGCTATACTATCTAAACCGTTAAAGTTTCAACTTTAGTTATGTCGGCTCCTCCTTTTAATGATTTGATTTTTTTTATTATCCGTCAAATAAGGAAAAATCTACCCAAACCTTTCAGTTTTAGGTGTAACTAAAGTTGAAACTTTAACAGTTTAGATAGTATAGAGAACATTATGAAAAACAGAAAAAGTATGCTCAAGCATTTAATTCTATAAATATTGTCATTAATTGTGATGCTTGAGCATCATAACAATTATTATCTGATCAATTAATTTAGATGCTTGAGAACAACCTTGGGCCAGTTAAAAATTTATTGAGAATTAATTGTTTATATGTTTAATATGTAAAAAATGCAAAAGCAATGCTTGAGCGATCTTTATCAATAGTAAAGTTTTGAAAAAAAAGGTGGGCTTTGCCTCACTGATTTGTTTATATGGTAACTCATTTGGTTAATTTATTCAATTTTGACTAATTAAAAAATTTATTTCCGATCCATTAAATGAGATGCTTGAGAACACCTTTAGTCTGGGTATAAAGAACATTGATTAATTGAAACTGGATAATTATTTTGTATATATTCTAGAAACTACTATATACATAGTATCATTTATTCTGGAATTTCTGGAATGTTGTGTATCATAATCATCAATATTATTTTCTTGATTAATAATTTGCTTAGTGGCGCAACATTTAATATATTTTTGATGCGATTACGTAGATGATTTGCACCGTAATGATAAGTACACTAACCCAAATCGGTCAATTAGATTAATTTTTTGCATATGAATTTTGCTACATACGTGTCATTTTTGTTAATAATATATTACAATGAAAAATCTGAATAACCTACCTGCATATAAAGATAGACAAAATTACTTCAAAAAGTGGCATATCTTTAAAGGGTAGAAGCGTGGGTAAAACGTGTAAAAAAGTAGCAGATGGAATGTATAAGCAATGTGAATATAAAAATTCACGAATAATTAACATCAAATAAAAATAAATGGGTTAGCAATTTGGTAATTTTATTGTAAAAAACGTGTACAAGAAGAAATCAAACAAACTTTTTTTTCTATATTTTTTTTATAGTATCATGTATCTGGTGTTTTGTATTTTATTTGTATCAATAAAGCAAATATACGTATATTTTTTTATTTTTCTGATTTTGTAAATTTTCTTGGCGAAACTGATCACCATTACAAATTGTAACGCATATATGATTTCATTTCAAAAATCAGAATAAATCAAGTTCAAAAAATACAACATGAATTCTTTCATAGCGAAGATCTCAACACAAGATCAACTTAAAAATTGTGTTCAGAATTGAGGCTTTGTTATATATTTCTATTTGTTTTGCCAAATATATCTTCTGAAATAGTTTTAAACACAACTAGATACATACTATATTTCTCGTATATAAAAATAAAACACTATTTGTCGTTAAATTTAATGTATAACTTATTGGATTCGCTGGCTAAAGATTGTTTTTTTGGTGAAAAATAAGTTTCCCGAATGTAATTAATTTTGAAGTGATTCGGCTTCATGATATTTCCAGAATGTAGAAGTTTGGCAATCGTGTTTTTTCTTGAATTCTGGGACAAATATTTTGCTTTTCTGATAACTTGCTCCTATTTTCCATTGAGTTTTTGTAAGTATTTTTATAATCATGAAATGTAGAACTTTAGATTTACCTACCTTAAAATAATACAAAACTTCTAGCGTCTGTCTTAAAACATCAATGCTACAAATTTGAGCGGGAAACTCAAAGGCTGGTCCATCAAACCCAAAATACAGTCCCTCATCCAGCAAATCAACTCCAATTAGTTGCCCTTCCAAAGCTAAAGCATATAATTATTAAAGATGTAAAAGCGATAAATTAAAAGAAATGCGTATAATGCATGATATTCAATGTGATCTTACCTGCTAGTTGTAATCCAAAAATTGTTGTATTTTCTAAAGCTTCACCTG